CTAACAATGTTTCAGTCAGTGTCATACACACACACACACACACACAAAGCAAATGTGTGGTGTGTCAATGTGAAGAACTTAGCAATGGCTGAGAAACTATTGCAAGATTAAATGTACAGGCAGACGGCTAGGCAACTGTAAAATAAAAAATTAAGAGGAAAAGCTCAAGAGTTACACGTGTTTGAATACAATCTACTACAGCATCTCATTTCAAGGCAAATGTGAAATTATTGACTAAACTAAGTCCCCCTGTCGAGATAAGGTACACAACACAGAGCCCTCTTTGCCTATACCCAGCCACATGAGTTTAATTTAAATCAAACCTATTTATTAAATCTTCTCAGGCAAACACATCCACTCCAACCCAAATTTTCAGCTTGCGGAGAGAGCGAAAGCAAACACAGATCCAGGTTATGAGAAAATGTGTGTGCTGAACAAGGAGGCATTCATGAGCTGATTCATCCCAGGCTAAAGTATTAGCAGCGCTGCAGAGGAGGGACATCTGCCATCACACTCCCCCACGAAGAGGCTGTTACCGAGGAACAAGCCAGGATCATTTACATTTCAGTCATTTAACAGACACTCTTATCCAGAGCGACTTACAGAAGCGATTAGGGTTAAGTGCCTTGCTCAAGAGCACATCGACAGATTTTTCACATAGCCGGCTCAGGGATTCGAACCAGTTACATTTCGGTCACTGGCCAGCGCTCTTAACCGCTAGGCTACCTGCCGCCCCATCCATGTATACTTACTGGAACTAAAACCTTCACAGGGGTAAGATAGAACACCACACCATGTGTTTTAGAATGAAAGAATTCACCCTAGTGCTTTTCCCTCCTCAGTTCAACTTATTCTGTCTTAGTTCCACATGTTACTGTGCATTCGGAAAGTATTCAGACCCCTTGACTTTTTCCACATTTTGTTACGTTACAGCCTTATTCTAAAATGTACTAAAGAAAACCATTTCCTCATCAACCTACACACAATATCCCATGATGACTAAGCGAAAACAGGTTAAGAAATGTTTGCAAATATATATAAAAAATATATAAAAAAATAACTGAAATACCTTATTTACATAAGTATTCATACCCTTCGCTATGAGACTCGAAATTGAGCTCAGGTGCATCCTGTTTCCATTGATCATCCCTGAGATGTTTCTACAACTTGATTGGAGTCCACCTGTGGTACATTCAATTGATTGGACATGATTTGGAAAGACACACACCTGTCTATATAAGGTCCCACAGTTGACAATGCATGTCAGAGCAAAAACCAAGCCATGAGGTCGAAGGAATTGTCCGTAGAGCTCCGAGAGGATTGTGTCGAGGCACAGATCTGGGGAAGGGTACCAAAAATGTTTTGCAGCATTGAAGGTCCCCAAGAACACAGTGGCTTCCATCATTCTTAAATGGGAGAAGTTTGGAACCATCAAGACTCTTCCTAGAGCTGGCCGCCCGGCCAAACTGAGCAATCGGGGGAGAAGGGCCTTGGTCAGGGAGGTAACCAAGAACCTGATGGTCACTCTGACAGAGCTCCAGAGTTCCTCTGTGGAGATGGGAGAAACTTCCAGAAGGACAACCATCTCTGCAGCACTCCATCAATCAGGCCTTTATGGTAGAGTGGCCAGACGGAAGCCACTCCTCAGTAAAAGGCACATGTCAGCCCGCTTGAAGTTTGCCAAAAGTCACCTAAAGACTATCTCAGACCATGAGAAAGAATATTCTCTGGTCTGATGAAACCAAGATTGAACTATTTGGCCTGAATGCCAAGTGTCACGTCTGGAGGAAACCTGGCACCATCCCTACAGTGAAGCATGGTGGTGGCAGCATCATGCTGTAGGGATGTTTTTCAGCGGCAGGGACTGGGAGACTAGTCAGGATCGAGGGAAAGATGAATAGAGCAAAGTACAGAGAGATCCTTGATGAAAACCTGTTCCAGGGGTGAAGGTTTACCTTCCAACAGGACAACGAGCCTAAGCACACAGCCAAGACAACACAGGAGTGGCTTCAGGACAAGTCTGAATTTCCTTGAGTGGCCCAGCCAGAGCTCAGACTTGAACCTGATCATCTCTGGAGAGACCTGAAAATACCTGTGCAGCGACACTCCCCATCCAACCTGACAGAGCTTGAGAGGATCTGCAGAAAAGAATGGGAGAAACTCCCCAAATACAGGTGTGCCAAACTTGTAGCGTCATACCCAAGAAGACTAAAGGCTGTAATCACTGCTAAAGGTGCATCAACAAAGTATTGAGTATAGGGTCTGAATACTTATGTAAATGTGATATCAGTATTTTATTTTTAATACATTTGCAAACATTTCTAAAAACCTGTTTTTGCTTTGTCATTATGGGGTATTGTGTGTAGATTGATAAGGGAAAAAAACAACTCAATCCATTTTAGAATAAGGCTGTAACATAACAAAATGTGGAAAAAGTAAAGGGGTCTGAATGCTTTCCGAATGCACTGTATGGCTCCATATAGGCCAGCTGATCCCCGCAGCAAGGCAATGCACTGGGACTTTTTTTGTGATGAATGAATGTTGATCCACATTATCTGCTTTCACATTATCTACTTCCATATGGTGTTCATTAAAAAAATAGCTTTAATTTCCAAAGGCAATAGAAATGGTAGGGGGGTGTTGTTGGGGGTGATGACTAAGCACTAAAGTTGTTGGATCTCACACATCTCTCTTATGCAGGCCCAACTGTAAAGGAGATAGGGACTATGAAATCAGAATGGCAAAAGCATGATGAGTGACACCCTGATGGCTGTCAGGTCAGGCAGGTCAGGCAGTCCTTTATTAAGAATCTGAGCAGAAAAAGTCAACCAAAAACTATCACAATACAACCAGAAAGCTACATACCATGTCTGTGATCCACAGATGATGTGGATTTGGACAAATACAGTCCTGACTTAAACTAGATCTTCAACTTTCACATAGCCTACATACCAATATGCCAGGAACTTAATAAAATGTGCCACATCCACAAACAACTATTCAAAATGAATCATGGTGCATCCATCCTCAAAGTAGAGAAAAGCTGGAGTCATATGAGCAGCACTAAAGAAAGAAAAGCGCTGACAGAAGAGATATGGGAGAGACGAGGCAGTACGGGAAGGGTTCCGGTGGCACAGGTTTAAAAATGCACGCTCCAGCTCTGCACAGGGCCCCACATAGCGAGCGGAGCAGGATGAGGCTACAGGCTGTTGGTTTAGCCACACAGGGTTGGGAGTACAGTACACAGAACTGCCGGTGGGTTCTTGGTATTCATTTTCCCCCTCAGTTCATCACTCTGTCCCACTGAGACCTCCATCACCCCAGGTAGGAAACTAAACTAAACTCAATTACACAGCTCTCCACAACCAAGGAACAATCAGTATTGTGCCTTATAAAATATGATAGGGTACTTTTTTTCTGCTTAGCTGTAACAAAGAGGATTGCTGAGATTGAGAAACTTAAACCACCTCTGATATCAGATTCCCTATCAAATTAAAAGCACCTGGGTATACAGCAACCATGCACCATCAGTGTACATGAGTGTTTTTAATTGGTTTGGTTTTATTTCTCATCTTGAGAGAGGGTCACTGAACAGGGTCCCTAGCTCTGTCCTGAGGTTCTACATGTCCGTGTTCTCCTAATGCTCTCCCCACTCCTCTCTGTGACCTCCCCCACTAGGTCAAAGACAATAAATACAGAGACAAAAACACCAATGTTGGTCCAATATCATCCTTAAGCTAAATCTGCTTTCTTTTAATTGATAAAAGATGAATGGCTATTAACTGAGCATAGCAGGATCCTATAGAGGCTTTCTCAGATGACCCAGTACACTGATTCCACCTGGTAACACCATCACACACCCCTTCTCCCAGTAAGTCACACTGACATCCACACAGCACGTGAACTAATCTCTCCTTACAGAACAGGCGACAAGGCCACTTGGAGGCCCCATCGGTCTTAAGTCACTAGGTGCCAAGTGAACTGCTGTTGGTTTTGGTGGCTTAATCGGTCTACTGTAAAGGGAGCTTATGATACAGTGGGATTTCAGCCACTTGTTGTGGGCTAGGGTTTTGTACAGTATCTGTCTCTCTGGTGCTAACGTTACAACTTATGCATGTCAATACCAAGGATCAAGATATGGTTAGAGGGATGCATAGTAACTTAAAATCCGAGCATGTAACTGAAATTTCCGCGCAAATCTCCCATCTATCAAGCATCAACAGTTACTTAATGCGAAAGTGTGATGCTTGCTCAGAACTCAAGGATTTAGCTTAGAGTAAGTGGAACTACAGGACAGATAAACTACTATTATCAATCTTTAAAAAAAAAAACATTTCAATGGATAAACACAAACATCTAGTTATTGCTCTGAGAATATGTAGCTGAGGTTTGACAATGACAGCTCTAGGGAAACATTTGTCATCTTGCGGCTTACAGTAATGCACAGTTGCACTTAACGTCTGAGTTCCATGCTTCCTTAGTGACAACCTCTGGTTCACACTAGAACTATAAAAGCAACCTTTGTGATGTTGGTTTTCTGTGCACCCTTAAAATTGACCTGTGGGAGCACATGGCCTTTACACAGTGAGATTTTGTATGAAGGCGAGAGGATGCTGCTCCACAGCAGGTCTGTCAGAAGGAATTCGTCAGCTAGTCAGTAAACGAGTGCCTCTTTTGAGCAGCTATAGCAAACATGGAGAGACAGCCTGGGCTCAGGTTGGTCTAATTCTATTTACAGTGCGGTCTCACTAAAAGTCTTAAAATGCTTAAGTCATGATTACCATCAGAGACATTTGCTCCATGTAACTTCTGAAAATATAGTCAAAGTTGTTTCGCAATGTTTATGTGTTACTGTCGTCCCTGTATCTTTCACCATCAGACTCTCTGTAGCTTTATTTCTTAGCACGGAAAAAATTGACACATGCTAAGTGGTGTGCTAAATGTCCCAGAAGCCACCTCATATCCTGGTTCTTGGCTTTAACATGGAACAGTACAGAAGGTCAGTCACATACCTCCATTATTCTGTCGTGGATCTGAAGGCCTCCCTCCTTGTCTGTTGGTCCCTTCTCAATGATCTTGGATACAAAAATTCCTTCATTCGAAGTGCTAACATGGTCGTCCTGTTGGGGGGGGGGGGGGGGGGGGGGGGGAATGGCATGTTAATGACCCATTTCCTGATAATCTCAGATAACACATTGATCAAATTGGTTAAGAAATATTTGTAACCATTGAAGATGATTACATAAAAAATGTAAATACAATCCATGGTCATTTACTTAATTATTCAGCAAAAATAATATCCTTAAAATATTAAACAAGTCTCTTGCTAAAACTGCCTAACCTACTTTCAAAAGCCCTGAGGATATTATGCAGACAATTTAAAATGGTTTTCCCATTACCCATTCCCACGAATCAGGGTCAGAGACACCCTGCGGTCTTTACATGTGAACACAACTGCAGTCATCAACACAGCCTTGTTAACCCAGCGATTAACCGCAGGGCTCAACAGCCCGCAGTGACTGGCAAGTGGTTGCAGGTGCACATTACACAGGACTTAATGTTGGGCTCCACAGAGCCCCAGTGCCAAAATGGCCTGCCAGTTGACATGTTTCCTATGGCTGGATAATGCGACTGCGACCCAGACCCTTAGAGGGGATAAATGTTGAATGGATGTGTTGGATGGATATGAGTTACTCTGCGTCCATCAGTGAGGCTGTGACTCCTGAGTTGTAAGAGCTTCGATTGGCTTAACAAAGCACTCCCAACATCCCTCTCAGCTCTCTCATAAAACCACATCAAACCAACTCCGTGACTCTGCCAAGTCGTGCGACACTGTGCTAAATTTATATGGAATACTTAAAGAAACCTCAGAAGTCAAGCTGTGAATGCTGCAATTCATTATTTCAGGTCTGCTTCCTCTTTTTTCCGAGTTCATCACAGCAAAGTGTTAACTGTGAAACCAACACATATTCCCCCAAAATGTCCCGGATTGCCAAGGGAATGTTACAGCAGGAGTGTGATAGGCCTGATGCTTTGCCATGCATCCCCCTGCCCTGGGGCCACAGTGCGGACAAACTCCAGGACTTAGATGCTACATTGTCTACAAAGGCCAGCCTTTAATCATAGTCAGCCTGGTGCCCAACCCAACTCTGCCTCTGAATCGCATCAACCCTAGTCAAGGGTGACAATGCCATGAATCAATAGTTTCTTGTGGAGGATTTGGTGACCTCTTTATGAAGTCATTCTAGCCTTAAAAACACTTCGAGCAAAAGTTGAGCATATGGGATCCCCTTTTGTAGCACAGGTGGCTGGTGGCACCTTAATTGGAGAGGACGGGCTCATAGTAATGGCTGGAATGGAGTAAATGGAATGGCTGAAATGGTTTATATGTGTTTTAATACCATTCCATTTACACCATTCCAGATATTATTACAAGCTGTCCTCCCCTCACCTGCCTCCTGTGTTTTGTAGACCCACGGATCAATTCTCCAGATGTAAAAAATAACAACTGAGCTCTTCTCATTTGCTAGCAAAGTGCATATTTCAATGTACATAGTGAGCGATAACGTAAAACATTTTCTCTTCGCTGTCAAAACTCTTTGGGTTGATGCACGGTTCTGTCAAGGGAACCGGAAAGGTTACAAATCTACAAGACCATGGAATCAATAAAAATAAAAAGCTTTGGGTGTTTGGAAGGCCCTAAAAAAGACCCTAAAAATTATCAAAGAGTCCAGCCACCCTAGTCATAGTCTGTTCTCTCTGCTACCGCATGGCAAGCGGTACCGGAGTGCCAAGTCTAGGTCCAAAAGGCTTCTTAACAGCTTCTACCCCCAAGCAATAAGACTCCTGAACAGCTATTCATGGCTACCCAGACTATTTGCATTGCCACCCCACCCCAACCCCCTCTTTTACGCTGCTGCTACTCTGTTTATTATTTATGCATAGTCACTTTAACTCTACCTACATGTACATATTACCTCAATTACCTTGACTAACCGGTGCCCCCGCACATTGACTCTGTACCGGTACCCCCTGTATATAGCCTCCCTACTATTATCTTATTTTACTGCTGCTCTTTAATTATTTGCTATTTTTTATTTATCTATTTTTTACTTAACACTTGTTTTTTATTTTCTTAAAAACTGTATTGTTGGTTAAGGGCTTGTAAGTAAGCATTTCACTGTAATGTCTACACCTGTTGTATTTGGCACATGTGGCAAATAAGATTTGATTTGATTTGAGTGGAACACTTTAGCACACATTCTTCCCAGTGAAAAAGATACTGCAAACACCATTTCACTGTGACCAGCTTACTCTGTACAGAGATTGAGATGCTCCATATGTAGGAGACCCAGTTCTAACTGAGCTCTGAGCCCAAATTAAAAAAGTATCTGAGTAGGAGTGCCAATCTTGGATCAGGTCCCCCCTTTCCATATAATTGTATTCATTATTATCTAGAAAGGCAAAACTGATCCTATATCAGTCCTCCTACTCTAAGAATATTTGTGAATACGTGCCCTGATCCCAGTTCAGCATTGATATTCCCTTCCCTCTCCTCACAGGAGCCTATGGCATCATTAATGATTGTCTGCGAAGACAGTGAGACAGCAAACACCAAGGCTATAACAGGTTATCAGCTCAGGGCAGAGGACCAATTTCACACCTCGTCTGTGTTTACCATGTCATCATAGTCGCCTCAATTAAAGAGGACAATAGTGTGGGCACAGTCATAATCCTTCATTTAATCCTCATTTAAAGTATTTATAGTTTTTATCTGGAGAAAAAAAATCTGCTAAACCCAACCATTATACAAACACAATGTGATCCATCCACATAGGCTCAAGGGCGTTCCTTGCACTGCGTGTGCAAGCTATGTTGGTTTAGGGGTAAAACACAAAACTATAGTTCATTGTAGTTCAAGTATGTGCCTCCATTCCTGATTTCCCATATGACACTTTGCTGACCATCAATGAGATAAAACAGTAACCCAGAGATGCCACTTGTAACCTACCGCACATGGTCGTCCTCCCACGATGTTGAAGCCCAGAGAACCTCCCTTCCGATGAAGGATGGCTGTGACGTTTTTGGTCTCCCCGCCCTGTGGACAGACAGACAGAGGACAGGAAGTCATTAACAACCCAAATATCACTGAATAACATCAATTATTGAACAAATCATAAAGAATAACAAAAGAAACTCCTTGAAGACAGACATGCAGACAGGCAGACAATTGGCAGGTGTTTATTTTCACTTAAAACAACACAAAAATAACTTGGAACAACGCAATAGAAAGTACTGAACAAATCTATGAAATTGACCTAGAAGTCAATGGAGTATTTGAGGTACGATAGAAATAGCCTGAGGTAAAATGGGCAGAACCCCAAGCTACTCCATACATGGTAAATGGATATGTAAAGGTATCGGTGTAACCAACATGGCTGGTAGCAGGGGGGAAAGATCTATCTGTTCTCACATCTTAGTACATTACTGGTGTGGACCTATATCATGATTCTCTGTGGCTTAGGCTAGCTCTCTGGGAAAGAGAGCGGCAGGTAGCTTAGTGGTTAAGAGCATTGTGCCAGTAACTGAAAGGTCGCTGGTTCTAATCCCCGAGCTGACTAGGTGAAAAATCTGTCGATGTGCCCTTGAGCAAGGCACTTAACCCTAATTGCTCCTGTAAGTCTCTCTGGATAAGAGCGTCTGCTAAATGACTAAAATGTAAATGTAAGTGACTGGTTCAAGTAAGGGTTGAGGCTTTTTCCTTCTCTCTTTCCTTCTCTTGCTCCAAAAGCCATTTGCTATGTGTATTAATACACCAGTAGACCTCTCTGTCAATGGAGTGATGACAAGTGGAACGCTGGGAAACCAGTGCAGTCAGCTCTCTTAATCCACTTTTTTAAGGGGACAGTCAGGGGGTGGGACTGGGGCTGGGACCATCATGTCAGCGGTCATCTCAGTATGGAGTATGCCATAGCATACAGGAGCTAAATATAAAAGCAGATATTAACGGTACGTACAGTGTCATGACTGAGTCTGGCTACCATATAGGCTACAGGATAAGGTTCAGAGTACTAGCCTATACTGTATGTCTGCCATGGAAGAATGTTCACCAAGTTGTGTAGGCGCATGTGTAAAGCGTTCTATATTTAAAGACAATTATTGGCTATTTCCTGAAAGGATAATGGCATATCTAAGAATATGAAAAATAAGGAAAAAGTTTTTGACTCATAACTGAAAGTAGAAGGGTAGGCAAGTTAGTCTTATGCATTCAGCATTGTCCATACCTTTTATATGTTGTAAGGAAAGCCTAGATCTGTAGGAACTGAGAAATCAAGACAATGTGTACGGAGGACTGAAGACTTCTAAAACCAGTTGGGTAAGCATGTCATGCCAAACAGACACTTATCCCACAGACAGACGCCAATCATCGCAGACAGTGTTGATCTTGCTTCGCATTCACCTAACCTATGTAGCCTTATTTATGACAGGACCACGGAGAAAGACCACATTCCCTTATGCAGCCCAGTCATTCTTAGCCAGTTTCCTTATTCTGTTCAATTCTGTACATCAGAAGCCAGGTGTATAGCAGTACTGGAAAGCTGGCCTATGCCATGTTTTCCTGTACATTTTTCAACGTGGCTAAGATTCCGTGCTCCAAACCCAGCAGTCAAAAGAGGTTACCTGTCACCATTGATATTTCTCCTGTTATGCAGTGGATTGGGGAGCAAATATGTCAGCCTGAATCTGAAGTAAGTCATACATTTCAGACGATCTGATAACACGTGACCTGAACTAGCCCAAGTAAAAACACAGACGCTGGTTCGCTGAGATTTGCAATGCAGCGGCAGTCAAGTCGCCCGCCTCCAACAGTTAATTCCACTTGTTTCTTTCCGTTTGATACTGCCACAGATACTGCCACATGTGCACTGACATTACTCGCCAAGCAATCCTGTTCATACTGCTTGACTGAATCTGAAGAAAAAATCTGAAGAGAAAAAGCCTTTAAAATAACCACATCATCCATATAATGATTTTTTTCTTGCTTCCTCTTTTTCTTTCATGGATAATTTGAGAAATGATTCCTTCTGAGATGTTTTCCAGGGATTAGAGCTTCAAGGAGGAGAACAACTTTGTTCATCCACTTTAACTGAGTTTGTACAGTGCAGCCATTTCAGAGGATTGAATAGACAGTACTAAATAAGAAACCTGAATCTGTAAAGTGTTTTGAAAGTGTGTTGAAAGTGTAATCTTAATCTCTTCCTCTTTCTGCTACCAGGCTGAAAAAACATGTTAGTCGTCAAATCTGATAGTGTATCTAGTAATACTGTGGTAGTGAGGTGCAGCACACATTTTAAAAGAGTGTAAAAGCAAGGGGAGAAAACACAATAACACTAGGTAAAGGTCTAAACAAGTCCCACTAACTATCAAGTGTAGACGTAACATAGTAAAAATATATCCGGAACACTACAATTAGTATGATATGTTACGTTTCATATGGTATGTATTAATTTGTGGATGTCCATCATCCATTTTGTATGAAATGTTACGAATTAAAATTCGTATGATATGTTACGAATTGCAATTTGTTGTTGCTAACGTTAGATAGGTGGTTAGCACTACCGTTAGCTAGGTGGCTTACATTAGCTGGGTTAGGGGCAGGGGCGGTGTGTTCATTAGGGCGATATGGGCGACGCACTGCCAAACGGGAAAAGGAAGGGATTTTTTTTCTAATCAATTATATCATGGCAACAGTAGTTATCAGTGTTCTAATCTAGACGTCTGATCTGCCACTAAATGTCCAATAAGGCTAAAGTCGTGCTTCAAATGGCCCCGCCCCTTTTGGGGCGATTTCAGTCAGGTTGAAAATCGCCCCAGAAGTCTCTCATAGACTCTCATGTAAAATCTTTTTTTTTCAAATATCAGAGCTTTCAATACAATCTCTATGGGTTCCGGGAGGGCTTGCACTTACGCGCTTTCGTCATACGTAACATAACCATGAACGTAACTAAGAAAAGAGCGGGTAGCAGCGTCAATCAATTCACGTACTACTGTCAAGATGGCTAGCGTTCAGTGCAACTCGATTGTCTCTTTGAAAGAAGTTCCTTTTTGTCGGCGAACAAATCAAGATAAATTGGCAACGAAACAATTAGGACCTCCCAGACCAAATGTAATAATTCAACAGGTTTCTAATAAAGGGGGAAAGTCCTACACCCAAGGATTTTCCAAAAATTGGTACGAACGAAAAACCTGGCTAGCAGGCTGCGATGTAGCTAATGCAGTCTTCTGCTACCCTTGCTTACTCTTTCACCCTGAAGGCGGCACGGCAGACAGCACCGCTTGGACAGCGACTGGTGTAACGGACATGCACCATCTTTCAGAAAAGATTAAGAAACATGAGCTGTCAAAGACCCACATGGATAGCTGTTTGAGATTGTCTGCTTTGGGGAGAGTGAACATTGCCACTCAACTGGATGAGGGATACAGGCTAGCTGTCCGCCGCCACAACGATGAGGTTAGCAAGAACCGCCACATCCTCAGCCGGCTAATCCAGTATGTGAAGTTTTGCGGAGTGTTTGAGTTAGCTTTGCGAGGCAAAGATGAAACTGAGGGCTCCACCAACCCTGGTATTTTTCTTGGACTTGTCAACTTTGTGGCACAATTAGATGAGGTGTTTTATGGAAATGCATATTGTTTATGCAGTGTTGAGGAATGTGAAAGAACACCCTTGATTATTTTTACTGTGATAACTTATTTTGCTTTTGTAAGCCAACACTTTTGAGATCAGTCAATAAATGCTTCTGGTATTGACTTATATGCTGCCGCTGTCTTCATGTTGTTGCTGGACATATCTTTTTTTAAATGTGTGTAGGTCACCTAAATCATCAGAAAAATTGCCCCCCCTGAGAATTTTTTCAGGAGCCGCCACTGGTTAGGGGTTAAGGTTAGGGTTAAGGTTAGGAGTTAGGTTAAAGGGTTAAAGTTAGAGGAAGGGTTAGCTAACATGTTAAGTAGTTGCAAAGTTGCTAATTAGCTAAAATGCTAAAGTTGTCCATGATGAGATTTGACCATGCAACCTTTGGGTTGCAAGATGTTCGCGTTATACGCCCACCCACCCTACTAAGTAACCAAAAATCTTATGTAACTATACCAAACGTAACATATCATACTAATTTGAGTGTCCCGGAATTATATTTACTATGTTACGTCCAATCTACGAGACCAGGCTGGTGTGTCTGTTCCCTTACGTTCAGAATGCTTGTAGCCTTGTACCGTACCTTACCTTGCCTGTTCTTCCACTATGGGTTGATATGGACTTATACAAGATCATAAACATTTCAACCTCTCCCTGGCTGACCAGAAGGGAGGCCTCTATCATTTTATGTCCACTGTGTTGAGTCCAAGTCTTGGCTATAGAACATGGCAAAAACTATGCAATATGCACTGAGTGTACAAAACATTAAGGACACCTCTTTCCATGACACAGACTGACCAGGTGAATCGAGGTGAAAGCTATAATCCCTTATTAATGTCACTTGTTAAATCCACTTCAATCAGTGTAGATGAAGGGGAAGAGGCAGGTTATTAAATAAGTATTTTTAAGCCTTAAGACAATTGAGACATTGCAACTCAATATAGGAAGGTGTTCTTAATGTTTTGTACACTCAGTGTATATTTCAGATATAAATGAATGAATATGTTTAATGATTTCTAGGAAGAAAATACAATACTAGTCATACTAATACAACATTATTAAATAACATATTAGTATTACTACAACATCACTTTTATTATGTAATTACAAGAGAATACTATATTGCAACGTCTGCAGACCGACAGTCTCAATTAACCATGAAGAGGTTGGTGATCCATGTGGAGGTAATTGTGACCGGGGTCTCGGTGTCTACAGTAAACACCAGTAAATATTTCCCCCTCCCCCAGATTTGCCAGCTGGCTGCAAATGCAGCTGACAGACATGTAGGCGTATGTATGGCAAGCTGAGGAAAATAAACAAACTTCTGACCATTACTTGGCACCTACAAGTAGCCTAATTCGTCGTTAGAAATCAGATTAAACGCCAATAAATAGTAGACTAGGCCTAATGCAACCGTGTTTTACCACAGGAGATTCAAAGTCTATCTGGTCAAGGACGTAACCTGGCAGACATCGGAACACTAAAGTGTTCAATTGGTTAATACAAACACCTCATAAATAACGGAAAATGAAACAACGTAGCGCTCGAAGACCAGATGTGAAAATAATGACAGTACCCGCGCTCTATAGATAAAAAGTAACACAGAACGATGGACAATCACAAACAAAGTAACTATTTGGAATAGCCACAAGTCCCGTAGTGTGCTTTTTGAAACGTTCTTACCTTGCACGGGGGAGCAAGGGTCTTGGTCAGCGAATCGATCCTTGCACTGTATTCAGTGAATTTTTTCTGATACTTCAGTGCTGTCATTTGTAGTTCATTGTGCACAGCGGAGAGTTGAGCAAGAAGTGATTTCTCTCTTTTACTTGATTTCAAAGATTGCTTCTTGAACTCTTTGTCCAAGCTGACCACCTTCCCGTGCAATGCACTATTATGTGCTTTCATGGCTTTCAAACAGCAATGGGTGTCTAGTTTTTGCTCTTTGTGGGTGAGCATCAAGCCACATCCACTGTGGCATATCCCGACCGGTCTGTAATCACACGATTCGCGCATATGGGCATCCATGTCCTTCAGATCGAGCACCTCGTTGCATCCTTTATTCCTGCATTTGGCCGGTGAGTAATCGCACATCTCGGCGTGCTCTGCTAGATGTTGCAGCTTTACCACTTTTTCACAGCCTCTGGCATGGTTGTCACACTTTATGTCCAGCTTCAGAATCAGGTTTTTCAGGGGGAGAACGTGGTTCAGCTCTTTCGTGGAGATCCTTTGACATTTGACGGGGCAGCTGCTTTGCTGGACAACCCAAGGCAGCACACAGTTTGCGCAGAAGACGTGACCACACGGAGTAGTGAGCGGGTCTTCTAGAACTTTATTACACAAGTTGCATTTAAAATCTGGGTCCACAGCCCCTTTAAACCGATCCAACTCAAATCCCATGTTTTTAAATAAATCCAAAATACCGCCGGGATTCCCACAGATCGAAATAGGAGTAATGGGTGTTTTAATTTGTCATTGGAGGAATTGCCTACAGACTGACTTCAAGCTTTCCTGACTGTCTAAACTAATTGACCGAGACTTCTTCGGAAAAAAAGAGTGGAGGAATTCTCTACCGTAACTGCCATAAGAGCCGCGCACCCTACTGAAACGCAATCATCAATTGGCCTAATTTACGAATCGAAAACATCTTTATGCTTTTTATATTGTAACTCAATCGAGGAAACGTTTAATGCAATTATTACATTGTAGTTACAAAGAAAAATAGGCTGCAAGTAGGGGTGTCATGCACCCAAAATATCTGAGGGGACACAAAGTATGTGAGGATGGCTTGGGGGTGGTCCATAGGTGGGTTATTCCCCCAGTCTGTAAATTGGAGAATTGTGTTTTTTTTAAACACCTGAAACATTTATTTCCTGCAATTTAGAGCCATAATCATTATGCTTAATTCTATGCTTCTCTGTGGAGGGATGGTGCTCTGAGTGTGACTTCTCATTGTGTCAAACCATGTTAGTGTCTGTGCGATATTGTTACACAAAGCTATGGCTATATGTCTTACCTAGCTAGTTGTGACTGACACTTCAGGGTATGAGCTATGTATACACTGAGTGTACAAAACATTAGGAACATCTGCTCTTACAGGGCGGCAGGTAGCCTAGTGGTTAAGAGCGTTGGGCAAGTAATCGAAAGGTCGCTGATTCAAATCCCAGACCGGTAAAATGGAAAAATCTACCGTTCTGCCCTTGAGCAAGGCAGTTAATCCCCAACAACAAATGCTCCCCTGGCACCGATGATGTGGAATTAGATTAAGGCACCGCTCTGATTCAGAGGGGTTGGGTTAAATGCAAAAACACATTTCGGTTGAATGCATTCCGTTGTGCAACTGCCTAGGTATCCTCTTTCCATGACATAGACTGACCAGGTGAATCCAGGTGAAAACTATGATCCCCTGTTGATGGCAATTGTTAAATCCACTTCAATCCGTGGATAAGCCTTGAGACAATTGAGACATGGATTGTGTATGTATGCCATTCAGAGGGTGAATGGGCAAGACAAAATATTTAAGTGCCTTTGAACGGGGTATGGTAGTAGGTGCCAGGCACACCAGTTTGAGTGTGTCAAGAACTGCAATGCTGCTGGGTTTTTCACGCTCAACAGTTTCCCATGTGTATCAAGAATGGTCGACCACCCAAAGTCCATCCAGACAACTTGACACAACAGTGGGAAGCATTGGAGTCAACATGGGCCAGCATACCTGTGGAACGCTTTCGACACCATGTAGAGTCCATGCCCTGACGAATTGAGGCTGTTCTGAGGGCAAAAGTGGGTGCAACTCAGTATTAGGAAGGTGTTCCTAATGTTTTGTACACAGTGTATAGACAAATGCTGTGTGCTGTTAACCATGGTCTGCATGACATGTCACTAGGACTTTGGAGAAATTACATGCTATCCGCTGAAGGCTCAGACGGACAGAGCACTTGTGAAAACAAATGTGTGGAAGAACACTTAATAGCAAGTTACATTTTTATTTCCCCCTGAAACACACATTTAAAATCCCAGAAGACAGAGAGAACAAGCAAACAGGATATTCCTAAAAGTGTTTTGGCTGGCATGTAGGCTACTCTGCACCTCTTACACTCATGTTGACAATGACAGGCTGTCTTCCTATAACACACAGTGCAGTGAGTACACTAGGGGACAGATAACCTCCCGAGTGGCGCAGTGGTCTAAGGCATTGCATCGCAGTGCTAGCTGTGCCACTAGAGATCCTGGTTCGAATCCAGGCTCTGTCGTAGCCGGCCGCGACCGGGAGACCCATGGGGCGGCGCACAATTGGCCCAGCGTTGTCCAGGGTAGGGGAGGGAATGGCCGGCAGGGATGTAGCTCAGTTGGTAGAGCATGGCGTTTGCAACGCCAGGGTTGTGGGTTCGATTCCCATGGGGGGAATAATGTATGCACTAACTGTAAGTCGCTCTGGATAAGAGCGTCTGCTAAATGACTAAAATGTAAATAACAAAACTGTAACCTAGATACAGATACAGTGTGCAAAGCTGTCATCAAGGCAAAGGGTGGCTACTTTGAAGAATCTCAAATATATTTTGATTTGTTTAACACTTTTTTGGGTTACTACATGATTCCATATGTGTTATTTCATAGTTTTGATGTCTTCACTATTATTCTACAATGTAGAAAATAATAAAAATTAAGAAAAACCCTGGAATGTAGGTGTGTCCGTACAGTAGATATATTTTTAAAATATATTTTCCTTCATTATTTTCCACTAACCCTACCACCCCTCCCCTAATTGGAGTAAACTAATAAACAACAACACTTAGGCTTCTAATTCCAACTTATACATACTACATACATTTTAGGGACACAATCTATTTTACAATAGTTGTATTTTGTTTGTTTTTAGTCTTTCCTCTACCCTCAACCTCTCCCATCTATTTCTGATGTCCATCCAGTTTGATTTCTATTTTCCATATATTTTTTACTCTGCTGTTTCAGAAAGGTTCTGAGCCTACAGTATATACATTTTTCGGACACAGTATATTTTACATGAGTTATCTTGTTGTTAGTCCCACCCTTCAGCTCCATTTAACCCCTCATATCTATCTCTTAACACCATCCATATTGGATTTCTATTTGCCATATATTTTTCAACTGTGCTGTGATGTTTCACAAAAGTTCTGAACCTTTCTATTCTTATAGTTTCTACAGATTGTAAATTAAAGATAAAAGTTTTTGCTAAAAGTATTGTTATACTATTGATCGAATGACTATGACTTTTCAAATCACCCAATAGTGCTTTCTGCAGAGTTAGCTCCAGGTAAATGTTGCAATTCTTCAGCCATTCCTGTGACCAAAAACAAGCTACATATGGACAGTACCAAAAAAATTATCTAATGACTCTGTCTCTTCAAGAGTGTTTTTGCATGTATGTGGCTGTTTCTCTGTCAATTTATTTTCTGCATTAAAAAAAAGCACCTCTATTTAAACTCTCACGTTTCGGTGCATTTTCCATCTCGGCAGGAAGTGTTACAGTCATAAAAGACTCGCCAGGGGCACGCCAGTTATGCTCATTGACAGGACAAGAATGACCAGAACACTGGCAGCTTAACTATCTTTCGTGAGTCCATCTTTGTTCATCAACAGACTCCATAATATTGCTGATGGGAAACACATATCTATTGGTTGTCTACTCTCTGGGAAACCCAATTACATGTGATGCTGTGCTTTATAAATCAATTCCAAATGTGTTACTATCAAAGACTAAAACCAGGCTCTGGGGGACACAGTGACAGAAAGAGAATGCACACTAGCAGTCAATTATAGACTGAGGTAATGCGTCAACTCTTCCACATGATAAATGGGTATCTCATGAGTAAAATGTGATGTAATTTCTTGACACCTTTATGGTATTATTTGGCTATGTCGTGAGTAATGCAATGACCTCTTCTTGTATCTTTCAGAAGTATATAATAATCAGTTTTGTACAATATCCACAGAGGCGTGTGAGTGGACGAGACAGACATAGACACATAGTAGATCAGGTCATAACAACTGGAAACATTGAATTGTGACATATCTTTTTGTTCTATTATACCCCTTTGCTCGCACAATGATTCTTCCATTTCCATTAGTGTGTTGCTGTGAATGGTGAGATTTGAATGTTCTAGACAGCTAAAGTACTGTCTGTTTGTGTTTCCTTGCATTTTTCTCATAATGATTTATTATTTCTTACCATGGAATAACAGGCTCCAGTTGTTTATTCTGCGGCTGAGCTGTGGAGTCTTCCTATAAAACTAAATGAAATATTTGTATTCCAGAATGGATAAGAACGTGAAAACAAACTTTAACAGGACCCAGCTATACCCAAATGTTGATTTGACCATCAGCCGTTTTGAGAATATCTCCTAGCGATTATTCTGAATTAGGAATGGTATCTCAATTTATGAAGGAGAGAGATTCATAGCGTTCTAGGCTATTCACTCTGCTTTGGAATTCTCTGCAGATGACGTCAGAATGTTTTCCATGAACTGGTATGAGGTGGTAACAGGGGGTTCAGACAACTCTATGTTGGGTCCAGCAGCACAAAGACAGACTGGGTCCTAGTAGAGATAATAGTTAATCCCAACTCTCCAGCTCCAGACTGCTAGTGAAGGATCCAGAAAGACTCTGGGGCTGTGTCTGGACATCTCCTCTCCCACCACCCAGTTCATATCCCAGTGTCACCCCACACGTCTAGATCCACTGAGATAAACATACTGAACTTTTGCTTGAGCCCCGTTCAATAGCAAAAGCAATACACATACTGGCATTCCACACACCCCAACGGGCCTCCACTCCCCAGATAGCATATGAACACGTCATAAACCATGCAATTATTTTTAGAATTACTGGAAATTAGCTATAAAACTGCACATTTTTGTCTTTGACCCATGGCAATATGTGTCGAATTGCAAAAGATTCGCTTTAAAACAGCAACATTTTCTCTCAGCCTCATGGCAAAATGTATAGCATGGCATGGGATTAGCTATAAAACTGCAAATGTATCTCACTGTCCCATAGCAAAGTCTGTAGAATAGCATGAGATTAGCTATAAAACTGCAACATTTTCTCTCTGCCCAAAGGCAAAATGTGTAGAATTGCAGGAAGTTAGGTACAGTTGAAGTCGGAAGTTTACATACACTTAGGTTGGAGTCATTAAAACTCGTTTTTCAACCACACCACACATTTCTTGTTAAGTCAGTTAGGACATCTACTTTGTGCATGACACAATACATTTTTCCAACATTGTTTACACAATGTGGGTCAGAAGTTTACATACACTAAGTTGACTGTGCCTTTAAACAGCATGGAAAATCCCAGAAAATGATGTCATGGCTTTAGAAGCTTCTGATAGGCTAATTGACAGCAGTTGAGTCAATTGGAGGTGT